ACACATAGACACGATTGTGCAGCTCCCATAAACTTTCTATTGGGTCCATGGACTTACTTTTTATATCATTATCATGCTGAATTTTGTGAGTATGTTTTTTATCTACCTTTGATCCTGATCTTAATAAATTTGTCTGCACCAGGAAAGGCGCCCCCTGTTTGTGTTTTTTCCCTAGCATTTAAAATGTATCTGTAGTCAAAACTTTTTCTTTGATTGGATAGAATGGGGAATGGTTAGAACCTATGTCATTTGTTTTGTTGTTGCTATTTTTGTCCTGGAGACACAGAACAGAAACAGCAGAAAAAAATCTCGTCCGAATTGAAGGGAAATCTCCTCTAAGTTGTCACCAGAACAAGTATCCCCATTGGAAAGTTTTCCTTTTAACATCTGTTATGGTGACAGTTGTACATCTTTTGGATTACCCACCCATTTTGGACCACACTTACCATGGCAGTGATCTGGGGACAAATAGAGAGGGTGAATCTACCTAGTGGGGAATCAGACAGCAAAAAAAAGACTGCTTGACAGAGGTTCTTACTAGGGGTGTGTCAAACGTTTGGCCGCCGAAAGAAAATGGAATTATGGGCAAAATGCCAATAGTACAAAAATGGCTGAAAATTCAGTGCATCCCCAGCTTGTCCCCTCCCCTCTGGACGCCAGCTGCAAGCTTTGGTATGTGTCCCCTCTGCCTGTGTCAGCAGAGACCGTGGGAATCAGAGGAGACAGAGAGCTGATCAAGCTGCCGGTGCCCAGCGGGGAGGAGAGAAGCTGTCTGGAGGATGAGCGGGGAGGTGAGCTTGGCTCTGGTGATAGGTGAGAGGGGATGGAGCAGTCAGGATTGAGAGCGGAGCACAAACAGTGAGCAATCAGTGTTTGTAAATAAATAAGGACATAGTAAGCTTACTATGTCCCCAGTTATGAATAACCAGGAAGTGCTCTACATCACTTCCTGTACATTTATGCATGGAGACATAGTAAATATGTACTATCTGCTCACTTAATGAATGAACAGGAAGCAACTCAGTACAGAGGCTTCCGGTCCACTCATGACTGGGTTGATCGTAAATATTTACTGTCTCCAGATTGTGAATGAACAGGAAGCCTCTGTACTGAGAGCTTCCTGTTCATTGAGTGCTAGGGCTGCAGAAAGAGACTGAGGACTCTGTGTCCTCAATCTCATTTTCTACTTTGATGGGGATATACCAGGAGTCTGTATAGACCCCTGATATTTCCCTTAAGCCACTAACAGTAAAGTAAAAAAAAGTATGACATTTCTTTTTAAAAGGTTGATCATTTTGGTTTCGCCTGACAAATTTTGAAATTAAATTTTCGTTCTAAAAATTTCATTTCAGTGCATCTCTAGTTCTCTTCTTCTAGTTCTCAATCTGCATCCCCACCCCGGGCGTTGGATGGGGTGGGGATGCAGATTGCTGGTAATGAATTTTGATCACTTTTTAATTCACAAAAAAGTCCTCTGTAGATTCTAGAAACCAAACTCTGCACGATGAGCTTAGCAAGACCCACTCAGCCGCGGATTTGGTGTGACTGGGGCCTGAACATTTTTTTTGTTTCGCCGATGTCTCGGTTTCGCACATTACACCTTTTTCTGCGTTCATGGTTTACCCCAAGGCCCAGTTCATACATGGCGATACATGAACCTGTGTTTATGCGCATTTGCAAGTGTTTTGCCCCCATTGCTGCACGTCAGCCCAATCATTTCAATGAGCTGCCGCACAAACGGCAAATGCGGAAAAGGTGTTCAGACAGCATTTTCAGCTGCGTGCTTCCAGTGGTTTTTGACCACGCGTTTGTGCACGGGCAAAATGCGCATTTTACTAGCCACGTTTAGGGCGCCATTATCAATTAATTGAGCGTTTTTTGACCACACGTTTATGCACAGGCAAAATGCGCATTTTACCGGCCACGTTGGGGGTGCCATTAGTAAGTATTTTGCACAAAAAGCTCACCACGTTTTTGACAGGGTTCACACGACGCCCAGGTGTTAACCAGGACTGATACATATCTCTTCCCAAAAAAAGATGTATAATATATCTAAATGTATCAACAAATTTAGATCCTATTTTTTAAAATTTTTTTTAGAAATAAATAGTAAACAATTAGAAAAAATGCAATCCCTGACATTTTTCCCAATACATAATTTGCACCCCTCCCCCTCCCCCACAAAATATCAACAACGTCTGCTGATGAAAATGACATAGGGCAATGGTAACGTTAAAAGTGAATGGGGGAATTTATCAAAACTGGAGCAGACAGAATCTGGAACAGTTGCCCACAGTAACCAATCAGCTTCTCTCTTCAGTTTGTTCAGTTAAGATTTGAAAATAAAAGAGAGAAGCTGATTGGTTGTAATGCACAGCTGCTCCAGATTTTGTCTGCTCCAGTTTTGGTAAATTCCCCTCATTATGTTTTACTTTAGGAGAACTTTATTCCTCTTTTGACTCTACATTGCGACACAGACAGGGGAACAAAAACAGTTTGCATCAATTATTAGCGTAACATTAAAGAGGAACTTCACCCAGATATTTTAATTAACAACAAACACACCTTTAGAAATGTTTAGTAATGACAATCTACAAACACATACTTCTAGATAATTGCCGGCTTTGTATTCTTTGCATTCCTTATTTCTCTTTTCTTCCCCAGTCCTCTGAGAGTGGCCATGTTCACTAAGGGCAGATTACCAGATCTCCTTCTACTTCCTGAAATTCTGGCACATGTGACTAGACATGTAACTAGGACATGTGATCATGCACATCATCTCAGGGGAGGAAAATGTCTTTCCCTGAGATCTCATGAGATTACAGATGAGATTTCCCGGCAATGCTCTTCTGATGTAACCTTCCCAGGATGCAACGCTTGGGCACATTACATCATTTGTGGCAAAGTGGACCAGGAAGTGGATAAACAATATTTGTAAGTAAAATAAAAATGTATGTTTAGCTAGTGAATGTAAGATGATTTCATATCAGCCGGCAGAGCTGTATGCGGGTGTGATTTTTAGTGAAAGGGGGTAAAGGTCCACTTTAAGATAGGCTTAGGTCGACGAGGACACAGACTAGCATGACAGCGACTTATTTTTTCCCAGGTTTGTGATTGCTGGAAATTTAAATGACATTTGTGTTCACTTACATAAACATTTGATGCAGTGAGCGCAGATATCAACCCGGATCATGGCTGTTTCTCCCAGTGCCATTGACAACCCATATGGGGGAAAATCTGCCCAATGGAGTCACGGACAGAATTAGAAACCTGACCTGGGCTTTAAAGCTGACCTCTTGGCAAATGTCTAAACACACGGCAGAAATATATAAGGGAATGGTTTTATGTGCCAAAGATTTTTATTCCTGTCCTTTCAGTTCTGGGATTCACATAGCCCTGCCACACAGCACAGCCCTGTCTGCCAGGAGACCAGATTTGTCTCTCCTACAGTTTAGTAACACTTACAGGTCTCCTCCCCACCCCACACACTGTGACAGCAGCTGACTGATGAGCTCATCTCTCTGCTTTCTCCTCCTATCAGGATGCTTTTTGCCACTGTAGCATACCCTGATTGGCTCATTGTGCTGTTTCTTCCTCCACCTCTCTGAGCTCTGCTGTGCAAGGACTACAAGAGGCAGGTCAAATTCAGCTAGTTGCATGTAAAATATAATAGCATCTTTTACATCTGCCTGGTGTTGACAGCAGATATAGGCATAGTGTCCTTGGCAATGGTTGGGCCCCATGGAGGCAGCTCTGCCCTCTTATCTCCTGCTGCATTATCTCTGAAGAGGCAGCACAGCACGCCAGACCGAGCTGCAGTGTCCTGGCAGCAACCTCACAGCGCGGAAGAGTTAACTCGCTTTACCTCTTCCACGCAGGTCATCGAGGGACGATCCCGGGCAAAGGAGTCGCGAAACGATTGGCCGCGACGCACGCCTATCACCGGGAATCTCCCGTCAAGTCCCTCCCCCCGGCACCCTATTGGCCGTGTCCTCGTCGTCTTTTTTTTCCTGTTTCTCTCACATCAATGCCCGCCCCTCTCATCCCCTGTTCTCGGAGCGCTGGTTGGGTGGCCGTGGGTCCTCGCTCTCAATTGGGCGCCCAAGCTGTCAGTCAGGCGAGGCGTCAGGTGGCTGGGCTGCCCGCGCGTCTCGCTGCCTCTGCTCGGTTTGGCAGACTGTGACTGGTCGGACCGTGGCGGCTTGGAGCCCCGTGGATTGTTCTGGCTGACCTCGGCCGTCGTCGTGTCTCTCCGGCCTGGGACGTGGAGCTGTGTGAGGGGAAGTGAGGCGCCATCCCGAGGAAGAGCTGTGTGTGTGTGCGCGCTTGGCAGGAGGAGGATGGTCTGGCCGGTGTAGCTCCGTGTCTGCTTCATTCAGCACCTTCCCCTCATCCGTGCTCACCTGATCCCCCCCCCATTGTTGTCAGGGTTAGGAGCAGGCCTGGGAAGCTGTCATACCTCCTCCATCTTCATCCTCTGACTTCTTCATCCTCCCTGCCCTCTTACTGATCTCTATCAGCCAGCTCCGTGCTGCTAGGCTGCCTGTAGTGTCTGAGGGCTCCCCAGTGTTTGTCTTTCCTGACAGCTAGCTTGCTAGCTGGGTGTCTCTCTCCCAGGGTAGAGAGGGGGATGTGGGATGGAAGGGCCAGGTTGTCATTTACTTTTTAATTCCTGTACTCTGCGGATTAGCATAATCCAAGGCTGGGGGGAGAAGAAGGCAGCGTGTTCCCGGAGCAGCCCCATGTAAGAAGGACAATATGGAGTTTTAGTATTTATTTACACA